CTGAACAGCTCAGCCACAGGGTGTCAAGGGGAGGGAGGGCAATTGCCTCAAAATAAGACACAACCCAGGTAGAGGAAGAAAAAAAATTTCAGTACGTTTATTCCTTTTCATACTATTTTTTACATTATAACGATTTATTCACTCAACACATATTTATTAGGCACCTACTATGTGTAATGCACTGCTGTGGGCATTTCAAATACATAAGAGAACAAAACACGTATCTGTCTTCATGGAGCCCATGTTCAAAGATGGCACATGTGTGGTGTGAAGCATTGAAATAATAGTGAACCTTGTAAGGAAGAAAACCTGCAATCTCATCCCAGCATCGGAAGGCAGCCAGTGTTAACATTCTGTTGCCTTTTTTCTTCACTTCTTGCTATACCTGTGCTCACACATCAATATCATCTAAAGTTTGGGTTCAATTGTACCCTTGATGTACATAGAGCTATAGCATGTGTGAAAGAATTTGAAACTGTCAAACCTTCTTCATGAAAAGTGCTCAGTGGAGTTCTAGAAATACTTTGAGAATGATGAGGGGCTGGAATTCACCAAGGCTTTGTAATATACTGATTAGATGCCTGTGTGTGACAGAGAGAAAAGTGGAGGAGGAAACCAGCAGGAATCCTTTTCCCGTGCATGACTCACTCTACCACTGAGTAGATGTGGGTGTCGGTGACCAAGAAGACGATTTCAGTGAGAGGAGCAGACGTGATGTGCAGAAGAGGGAGCCGGGAGGCGTCCCCAGGGCCTGCCAGCAGCCACCAGTGTGGAGCCGACCAGCGAGGTCCAGGCTGCAGACACAGGCCTGGACTGCACAGGAAGCAAGACCAGGGGTGACAGCCCCGAGCTAGAGTGTGTGGAGTGAGAAAGGGTGAGCAGCTCATTCCAGGGATCTCCCAATGTTCCTGAGGCTCATACTGATGTTTCTCAATCTGGGGGAGCCTGCGATGTTTCTAGGACATTCCAGAGTTTTCATCTACTCCAGCATATGCCTCAGATGGCTCCAGACTTCTCTGATGGGGTCATCCCTTGGGTTTAGCCCCAATGAAATGGGTCGATGGGATCAGAAATTGAGGGAGAGATTTTTTGTGTTTATTTCCTCCCCTCCCCATTCACACACACATATATTCATTGAGTTTGACATAGACTTTTCTGTATAAGCATGCTTAATTCTTGGAGAGAAAAGAAGTTAGCGTCAGAATATTGCCAGATGGGAGGGGAAAGGAGAGAAGTGGTGAAGAAATGAGGGGATTAAGAAGAACAGGTCAGTAGTTAAAGAATAGCCGTGGGGACGTGAAGTTCACTGGAGGAAGTGGAGTAGACAAAGAACTTATACACATGACCCATGACATGAACAATGGGGGGGATTGCCTGAGGGAGTGGGGGTGCTGGGTGGAGAGGTGCATAGGGGGAAAATTCAGGACAGCTGTAATAGCATAACCAATAAAACATAAATTTTAAAGGAATGCTTAATTATTGCAGAAAAACATCAGGGGAATCTATGTATTGGAAGTTGAGTGACACCATTGCAAAGTCTTTAAATTTACCTGGTTGACTTTTGCTCTTTAACATGGAAATTTTCAGGTTGGGAGACATCCTTACATGTACTGGGTAATCTACATCTCTGTGAGAACACTTGTGTAGGTGGCCATTGTCTGTCACAAGCAGACACACCTCAGACACAAACTCACACGTGTGTACATTACAGCTTTCAAACCCTTAGTGATGGAAGAAAAGAATCTCTTCCCGGCCCTGCTCAGGTTCTCCAGCTGGGCCCTGTGAACCAGACTGCCCCAAGTCCCATTACCCTGAGAAAACTTGCAGCACAGACCTCAACCCACACAGAAGGCGGACGGCTGTGGGAAGAGCTCCCACACCCTCTGTCTGACAAAGCCCCACAGGAGGATCTGACCCAGGAAACCACAAGTTCCTGTGCCGGGTTTCCCTCCTTTTCTGCCCTGTTCACACCCTAATGTTTTCATCTCCACGTCCCCTCCCACTATGTTCTCCTGGGTCCTTCTCAGTTGTGATTCCACATCTCACTGGGTGCAGAAGGGTGCTGATCGAGGCATCCTGGGCAGGGAGAAGGGCCACTGAAGAGTCAGGGTCCTCGCAGCTGTGCGGGGATCCTACTGCCACCTTATTGGGCAAAAGGGCAAAGACCAGGACCACCAAGAACCGCACCCGGGGGCCAACATCCAGTGTAGTCACCATGTTTGAACCAAAGCAGCCTGAAGACGATGGACCAGAACAGAGGTGGTGTCAGTGGCAAGGAAGATGTACATGATGTGGGGGAAAGTCCAACCCATGAGTGTCTGGATGTTATGAGGAATGAGGCTCCAGGCCCCATACATGTCACCACACTCCTCCCGATGTTTGGTGAAAGGTTAGAGGGCACAGGCCAGAATATGTCATCAGAAATGCTCTGATGAAGAAGCAAGGGGCAGGCTTCAGGAGGATGACCCGGCAGAGCTGCTGCCAGCAGGGGGGATGGGCGGACAGACCAGGAAGTGCGTGAGCTGTTCAGAGAAGCACCTGCTGTCAGAGAGCAGTTCCAATCACACTGACCTCAAGCGCCTCCTTCAGCACAGAGCAAACAGGAAAGGTGACTGAGAGGAACTCCAAAATCCAGCCAAATGTCTTTTTTGTAGCCACTTGGGGTGTTTCTGAGCCTTTCTCTTAGAGCCAATAGTATACCCTAGTGGTTTGGGGGGCTTTTTTGCGGAGGGTATTTTTTAAGGATTTATTCATTAACTTTTAGAGAGAGGGTAACATAAGGAGACAAAGAGAGAGAGAAGGTTCGATTTGTTGCTTCTGGCATGCCCTGAAACAAGGCTGCCCTGCACCCTGGGCATGTGTCCCAAAGGGAATGGAGCCACAGACCCTTCAGCTCCCAGGAAAACACACAGCCCACAGAGCCACCTCTGTGGGGTGTCCCTCCAGTCGCACTGAGCCGTTTTGGGTGTGTGCATCTCTGTAGCCAAACTGCAAATGTGACTTGTTCTGTTTCTCAGAATAGAAAATGGGGTTATTTCATTTATTCCTCCTCCCCAAATAACTGCAGACCACAGAGAGTCAATAGTAAGTTTTTCAGAGAAAGTTATTCACTCAACTTTTCTAAACTGCAATAAAATGTTATGATTAAAATATAGTAATTCCAAATCCTTTATCATCTCTGCATTATTTTCCTGTCTGGTCTCAGGGAGACAGGGTGGAGCCCTGAGCACCCCTTCCCTTGACTGAGGAAGTGCTTGCAGCTGGTTACAGGGCAGAGTCAGCGCCCCTCCCCCACCGGCTGTGTGCAGTCTGGCTGGGAGGGCCAGACACTTGTATTTCTAACAACCTATCAGCTCAGAGCCTGAGGTTTACAAGGAAGCATGAAACTTATATTGGCCCTATTCTTTATTTTGTAAATATTTTGTATTCGTTTTTAAAATGTAAACCTTTTTATTTGAATTCGTTTCTTCGTGGTTATGATGATCAGGCATATCTTTTACCTTTCACATAAATGAGTTGTTCCCTCTACAATTATTCTCAATAGTGTAGACAGCAGTTAAGCCCAATGACCAACTACAGCTACGCTGCCCAGCTTTTGCCCCACAGTGGTTTGGAGTCCTAGTTCCTCGAATGTAAGAAGCCAACCACCGTTAAGTTGTATAATGACTTTACAGACCAGTAAGAGAAAAAGGCTGCTCCTAAAATCACGCAGCAGTGCTGAGAAGCCACCTATGTGTGTGTCAAGGATGTGGGCTTGAGGAAAGGAGATAGCTCTTCGAATTAAGTAAATGTAGGTATGTCTTGCCCACTCCTTCTTTTGAGCCCTTTAATGTCTTTCTGTTTGTTTACCTCTTGAAAATAGCACAGAGTTTACACGTAATTTTGTTAACTATTTTTAAAATATTTTATTTATTGATTTCTAGAGACAGGGCAAGAGAAGGAGAAAGAGAGGAGAGAAACATCAGTCTGTGGTTGCCTCTCACAGGCCCCTAGTGGGGGCCTGGCCTGCAACCCAGTTATGTGCCATGATTGGGAATCGAACTGGAGACCCTTTGGTTCGCAGGCAGGCAGTAAATGCAGTGAGCCACACCAGACAGGGTTAATTTTCATAACTGTTTAACTGGATCACATTTGTCTTCTCTCCTGGTAGTGAGGAAGTTCAGAACTAGCCTCTCCCAAAAGTGCCACGTTGGACTGTTTGGAGCTGAAAGCGATCAAAGTCCAGCAGATTCCAGGAAAACTCTGACCCCTCGCTCAGCTACCTGAAAGCATTAAAGGGCCTGTTTCAGGATACTTACCAGGTCCGCCTTTCTCTCTGAACAGCCCATCTGTGTGGCAGGGAAACCCCTTATTGTCCCGGGAACTCGGCACCTCCTCTTGAAGCCCTGCCATTCCAGCACCTGCCATTCCTTAGCTCAGGAAAACCCCTGAACCTCAGCGGCCTGACTTGGCCTCTGAGGAGCAAATCATTGGAGAGAAAAGACCTCTAGGAGAATAAACAGAAACCCCTTTGAACTCCCAGGGCCTCGCTGCCCCGAGGAAACCAGGGCCCGTGGCCGCCTACCCCGGACTCCCCGCGAGGAGAACGCTCTCCCAGCGCTGAGCTGCCTCTGATGCGCTCACAGCGCCGCCCCGCGGGCCCGGGCGGCCCTGCAGTGGGAGGAGCAGCAGGGCTGGAGCGCAGCCTGCCCGCCGGAGCCGGCTCCTGCCCGGGCCTCCCAAAGGGCCCCAGACTGCGGGGACTTGGGAAGAAGGGAAGCAATGGAAACCCACCCGGCTGGCAGCCACCCCCGGGCTACAAGGAGAAACCCTCGGAGAAATCGGGAGCCAGGTGGGCTGTGCTCCAAACCGGGTCTGATAAAGCGCTGGTCGGTGGGGAAGGAGAGAGGCTGAGCAGGGGGCGCAAGGATGGTGCCCGGGCCCAGCAAGGAGCAAGCAGCTGGGTGGCGGCCAAAGCAAAACCCGCCTGGACGCGCACGCGGGTGCTGCCCCCCAGTTAGTGCGGCGCTATCGCCAAAGCCCGGGCTCCCAGGGGTAACAGTGAAATAAAATGTGGACCAGCCTCGGAAATCCCCGGAGCACTTGTTTCATAACATCACCCAAACTGATTTCGTACAAATGACTTGGAATATTGGGGAAAAAAATTCAGTCATCTTCCTAATATGGTCTGAGGCGGTGGCTGCTAACCAATCCTCCGAATTCTGGAAACCCCGGCTGTGATAGCCAATCGCTGGAAAGGTCAGCGGCTTCCTGTTTGTCCTCTTCATAAGCCGCGCGTCCTGCAGCTCCCCAGATCCTCTTCCTATCAAGCAGGGTCTAAATAGCCTTTCCAGGCCGTGGGCAGCAGAGAAGAGTCCGGTTGAACCCCAGTCCGTGGGTACCGCTCCTGGTGCCCCGGAGCCCCCAGGACCTGAGACTCGCCAGGCCTGACTGCAGGATGACCCGGAGACCCCCTGTTCTTCGCCGGCGGGCACACGGCCTGCTCTCCAGGGGCACTGCTTGGTTCTCCGAGCTTTGCTGTTGCTTCTGCTACGTTGTTTCGGGCGGAATGGTTGTGTGGGGTTGGACGACTTTTGGAGCAAACGCCCGCCTGTAATTTCTGGGACGCCGTGCGCCCTGATGAGCCCCGCGTGTCTCCATTTCTCATCAGCCGGTTTGCTTTGGGCTCCTCAGCCAGGACGGTGGTGAGTGCGGGCTGAGTTCAGGGAGCGCTGTTGCCTCCCCTTTCCCCGCAGTTGCCTGCAGTCCTCGTCCCAGAGGGTTTGCAGTCTGGGTTCCTTCCCCGGGGCTGGCTGTGCTTTTTGTCCCTGTGCTCGTGGTCTGCTCTACACTCTTCAGTATATTTTTTCGTATTTCTTTAGTCTATTGATTGCCTTGACTTTATTAGTGGCGGCTGGGTCTGTTATGAATTCCTTGTATGTTTTTTTTTATCTGTCCTGCACCCACCCACTATCCAGGAGAGGATAAAGTCCCAGGCTGCTGGTACTGCCACAGGCCTTGTCTCCTGCAGAAGCTCCGAGGCTTGTGTCCCCCGGCTCAGAGGTCTCCGAGATGGAGCAGCACTTTCTGGAGGCTGTGAAGCCAGCTTGGGAGTCCCGGGGGCGCCATAGCCCCAGCCTCGGTGGATGCTGGCCTCTGAAGACTTGGGGGCTTGGCTGCTGCTCCGACTACCTGGTAGGGAGAGAGCCCGCCGGCCACCGCAGCACTTAGGACAAGCCTTCCAGTCTTTGTTGGTGGCTGATCTCGGTCTAGGGGAGGCACAGAGTCTTAAATGGAGCCCAAAGCCCCTGCAATCCAAGGGAAGCACTGCCCAGTCTTGGTCTCTGAACTGGGTCACAGAGGACGAGCCCCCAGCACCTGCCAGAGCTCCTGAGCCTGCAAAGGAAACTGCATCCCAGCAGCTTCCCCTGGCCCTGCCGCCTGATGCCAGGGATGGACCGGAGCAGCCCCCTGCCCCCCAGACCTGTGACCATGTGAAAGGTTCAGAGTGCCCCCCACGGCAGGGGCCCCACCACCCAACTGGGCCCCGGGGTGGGGGCGGTGCTCTGCAGGGCCCTTGCCTTCAAACACCTGGGGACATACAGTCTGTCACCAGAGTTAAGTGACAGCACCTGGGAAATCCTCTGGGACACGGTTTTCTCTGTGGGCTCAGGCTCCCAGGCAGGTGCTGCTGGGGTCCTTAGCGTCTCTGGCAAGGGACCCAGACTGGGCTGCGCTGGGCTTGCCTCCCAGGAGCTCTGGGCTCCCATTAAGGGTCAGCACAGCTGGTGGACGGAGGGCATCCGCCATCAATGACTGGAAACAGTGGCCAGGAGCAAGTGCCCTGGTGGCCTTGGAACAGGGTGCAGCCAAGGGCTGTGGGAATGGGGGGGGGGGAGGAGGCAGGGGAATTTGTAATGGGGTCCAGTGTAGGGAACCAATCAGCATGGCGGTGGGGATGTAGGCCAGCATTGAACGGGAAAACCGAGGGAATGTGAGGCAGCACACAGGACCCAGGCGTGCAGCTGGGCTTGGTCATGGGGAACCAGCTGGCATTGTGCCTAGGCTGCTCTAAGGCTTGCTTTTGCTAAAACTCCCTCACCCTGAGTTAAGACTGCAGATCTTTTATGTATATCTCTGAAGAAACTCCCTAATGTCTGTGCTAAGCTGTCCCAAGGATGAAATGCCACCAGGTCGATCATTTTTATGCTTCCCTTGCATTTGCAACATTTTTCCTTTGTTATCTATAAGAAGTAGTCACTTAAAGTAAATGCGAGGAAAATGAATGAGAACCTTTTTTGATGTGAGGCACCTGGAAAGCAATAAAGGGCTGTCCAAGGGAGGGTTGAGGCGCTCTCCCCTTGAGAGAGTGGCCAAGATATGCTCTCTCTCAGAGAGTGACCACGCTGTCCCCTTTCCTCCACAGGACCTCTGCAGTCCGTGTGAATTTGTTCACCGCTTCCACAACACCCACTCTGCTGGCCAGAGTTGCATCATCTGGGGCCCAGGAACAGGGACCCAGGGTACGAGCCGCCATTGTGGACAACACACCAACTTGACTGGAGTGTGTGCATCAGCTCTGGTGAGGTCAGATGACACCGAGTGCTTTTTGGTAAGGTTGCAGGGGGTGTTGGATTTCAGAGAAAGAGACTCCTTCCACAGCTGCCCTGTCTTGAGGCCACTTTTTATGTGTGCCCTCTGTAGTAAGCAGGAGCCTTGCTGTCCCTCCCAAGCAACTGCTGCATTTCACGCGGGCAGGGGTCGAGCAGTTAAGAGCCACAAGGGTGCTCGCCACAATAAAGGTGCTTGTGAGAGGAGAAGCTGGAACGTGCACCGGGACAGAACACCAGGTTGCCCGCCAGCTGCAAGCTAAAGCCCCCGAATCGAGAGGCACCCTGTAACAGCAGGCACAAGCCCATCCCCCCCCGCCCCCCCGCACAACCCCCAGTCAGGCTTTAGGCTTGGGAGAGAGAGCGATGAATTTCCCTTTCACTTGGCTCAAATGATACAAGCGCCTCAGCGCATTCTTTCTTTACAAGCTGCTTTTTGCAGCCCTTTTGATTTTGCCTTTTCCCTCCGCCTGCTGCCTGTAAACAGAAAAGCAGATAGTGAATGAGTGTTTCGGTTTTGACCGGACTCCGAAGATGGCTTGTAGAACTCAGAGTTAGTTCCAGGGTTCTTCATGAGTGTCTCGGCTTCCTGCTGAGCACCGAAGATAAGAGGCATTCCTCCCTCCGGCTTGAGATCTCAGGCGTCCCTACGTGAGTGGGGGCCTTGCGGAGGTGTCTGGGGTCAATCCCCGCGACGTGCAGGGGCCTCACAGGGAATTCCAATCACAGTCATTTAACGCTGGGCTCATCCAGGGAAGCGCGATATAAAGGTTGGTCACCTAGCGCTTCGAGCCCCCCCCTTGCAGTGTCAGACGCTTGGGGGAGAACCTGAGACCCATAAGCGGGGTGAGGGTACTCCGGTACACCTCTCCCTGACGGTCTTCCACCAACAGCACATTTCGACCCACTACACTCACCTCACTAGGAAGAAGTAGGATTGAAAGGTGCAGGCGGAGAGAAAGCAAAACTCCAACTGGTTTTGTCATCGCCGTGCTTGCGGCAGGAGGAATTTCCAAAAAGTTTCTTTTATTTCTTCAAAAGTTTCCTTGAAAGGTTTCTACGAATCCCCTACCGTGGGGAACGGGCTCTAAGGAACCAGAGCACTGTTGTTGTCTAACTCAGCAGCTCTTTAAGGCTGGTGGACGTCTCCCAGAGAAGGGATCTTTAGATTTGGAACTATGGGAAAAAGCAGGGCAGACAAGCCCTCATGGTCAGGAAAGCTTAGACGAAAACCAAAGCCTCCACCTTAGGTCAGCCAGGGCCTTCCCAAAGGTCCCCCCAGCTGCAGGGAATGTCCAGCCCTGCCCAGGTAGCCCAGCCTGGGGCGCGGGGGCGTGGGCACTTACAGCGTGGCTGGGGCCGCAGTGGGTGCCCACTCTGCTCCCAGTGCAGCGGGACCCAGTCTTTCTGCCAAGGACAGCGGCAGGGAGGGGGGTTGGTCCCCCTCGCCTGTTCTCTTCCCCTTGGGGGTTGGATGACCTATCCCAATCCACAGGGTCTGCCCTCCCCCCAGGACACAGGTACCACACAGCACCTAGCCTGAGTGAGCACCTAGGAGCAGACTTAGAACTGGCCCAGACAGCATGTCTCGAGGAGTTCCAGCCTGGTCATAGCTGAGCTAAGGGGCATTATCTCCTCCCTTTGGGAGGCCTCCTCGAGGTTAGTTTTAGAAACAGGATTTCTATTTTGTTTACATTTCTACAACTGAAATGGGGTCATTTCTCAAGCCTGAAAACAGGGGCTGTCAAAAGCTCCATTCATGAAAGGAACCTTGGATGGCACTCTAAAAAGCTCCGGTCACAAAAGTAATAATGAAACCGCCTTCAAAAGAAAAGGACACTAAAGGGCTCTTAGGGACGGCACAGTTAAAAGCAGCGGTCCCCAAATGCTATACCAACGGCACTGTAAAAAGATGGGTCACCAAAGGCAAGACAGACACTGGTGTAAAAACCACAGGCCACCAAACAAAACGCAGATGGCGCTGCCAAAAGCTCTGAGCACCGAAGGCAACACAGATTGTGTTTTAGAATGCCCGGTCCGGTCCTCAAAAAAACTACTGACCGCACTGTAAAAATAAATCCCTGGTCACCAGCGTAAAACACAGATACCGACGGCGCTGTAAAGAGTGATGCACTCCCAAGTGCAGCGACCGCGTTATAAAAAACACAGTTCACCAAGGGAAATACGAATGGCGCTGTAAAAATCCCCGGTCACCTAAGGACGTACGGACAGCGCTCTCACAAGCAGCCGTCACCACATGCAATACGGACCGCAGCATAAAAAGCGCCAACAGATGATAGGCCAGGCGCTGTAAAAAATGCCGGTCAAAAAGGGAAAATACCAATGGCGCTGTAAAAATCCCCGGTCACCAAAGGACATAGGGACAGCGCTGTGAAAAGCAGCGGTCCCCAAAGCCTATACCGACAATGCTGTAAAAAGTCGGGTCACTGAAGGCAAGACAGACAGTGATGTAAAAACCACAGATCAGCAAACGAAACGCAGATGGCACTTTCGAGAGCTCTGAGCACCGAAGGCAACACGGACGGTGTCTTAAAATCCCCGGTCCGGTCCTCAAAGAAAAGACCGATGGCGCTGAAAAACTTCCCAGTCACCAAAGGACACAGGGACGGCGCTGTTAAAACCGGCGGTAATCAAATGCTACACCGAAGTCGCTGTTACAAGCAGCGGTCACCAAATGCAATACGAAACGATTGAAAAAGGTAGATAAGGGATACGATTGGCGCTGGAAAAATCCCCGTCACCAAAGGACGTAGGGACAGCGCTGTTACAAGCAGCGGTCACCAAATGCAATACGGACCACAGTATAAAAAAACGTGGGTCGCCAATGAAAATACCAACGGGGCTGTAAAAATTCCCGGTCACCTAAGGACATACAGACGGCGACGTTACAAGCAGCGGTCACCAAGTGCAAAACGGACGGCACTGTACAAAGCACAGTTCACGAAATGCTATGCGGACCGCACTATATAAAAAACGCCGGTCGCTCACCAAAGGAAATTCGAAGGGCGCTGTAAAAATTCCAGGTCCCAAGGGACCTACGGACGACGCTGTTAAAAGCAGCGCTCGCCAAATGCTATACCATCCGCGCTGTACAAGGTACCTGTCAGTCAAAGACGTAAGGAAGGCGCTATCAAAGGTACTGGGAACCTGAGGCAATAGGAACGGCCCTGTCAAAAGCTCTGCTCCCCCAAGGAAATAAGGAAAAGGGAGTGTAGTTGAAAACGGAGTGAACCCGCTCTAAGGTCGTTTCTGTGACGAATCACGTCCAGGATTAAAAATTTGTGCACAGCACTGTGATTTAGCGCAAGGAACTGCCGGCCACTGAAAGCCAGTAAGAAACGGTGGAAGTGAAAAATGACAAGTAAAAGCAAGAAGTGCAGAGGCAGGGGGGAAGGAGGAAAGGGCAGCGACCAGGGCTGCAGAGGGAAAGGGGCGCTAACTGACACGGGACACCGAAGGAAGGTCATGCAGTTTTATTGGAAACCGAGATCTTTTCACCCCGGGCGCCCCCCAACCCAGGGCTCCCTCCCGCCGCAGTCTCGGGGCTCTTTAACGTCCACGAAGATCCCGCAGCAGCCCGCAACCGCGCGGCTCAGGGAGCAGATGGCGCGACGGATCCACCGCAGGCAGCCCGACAAGTCCGCGCGACCACACCGTCCAACCCGAGCCCGCGGTGGGCGGCGCTCTGCGGGGCGCGCGCCTTCGCAGCTCTGGGCGCCTTGCACTTGGTCTCTGGCGCTGGGACACAGGGTCTCGGAAAGCAGCTCCAAGGCAGTTTCCTTCGCGGGCACAGGCTCTCGGGAGGGTTCCGCTGGGCTCTCTGGCGACTCCGGCGTCTCTGGCGTCTCTGGCGTCTCCGGGGTCTCTGGCGTCTCTGGCGAGGGACCCAGACCCGGCTGCCCTGGGCTTCCCTCCCAGGAGCTCTGGGCCGCGGTCAAGTCCTTGTACGTGCCGTAGACCGAGGGCAGCTGCCAACAAGGACTGAAGAGCAGTCGCCCCTGGTAAGCGTCGTAGTCGCCCGCGGACTCTCCCAGTACCGGGTAGAAGGGCAGCGGCCACGGCCCCCGGTCTTCGGAGACCGGCAAGCACGGAGGCTGGGGCTGCGGCGCCCCGTCAGCGGCGTCCCAAGCCGACTTCCCGACGTCGAGAAAGTGCTGCTCCATCTCGGCCGAGACTTCGGACCACGAGGACAACCAGCGTCTGAGCTGATGCAGGAGACGAAGCCTGCGGCGTTGTCCGCAGCCTCGATATTTATGCTCTCCTGGCTGGTGAGCGGATGCAAGGCGGATGCAAGGCGGACTTCAAAAAAAAAAAAATGAAGGAAAGAAACCCGTGTTTTTTAAAACGGACTTACCCACAGCTAACAAACTCAAGTTGATGTGTAGAACCGAAAGAAATACGGAACAATGGGGACAGAACAAGGAGCGGTCGTTAGGACAGGACGCGGAGGGACAGCCAGTAGCGCCGACCACGGAGGAGGAACGTGTGGTGCGGAGAGAGAGACCACGGAGGCTGCAGGGAGAGGACCAACCCACGTTTCTCCCTGAAATCGGAGCCCGGGCACGGACTCCAGGGCTGCCCTCAGAACGAGACATTGCTGGAGAGAAACTGGAGAAATAATCGACGGCGGCGATAGGAAAAGAACCCTTCACCCACTGCGATACGGACCGCACTATAAACACCACCAATCGCCAAAAGAAATCCGGAATGGCGCCGTAAAAATTCCCGGTCACCTAAGGATATATGGACGGAGCTTTAAAAATCCCCGGTCACCAAAGGGCTTAGAGACGGCACAGTTAAAAGCAGCGGTCCCCAAATGCTATACCAACGACACTGTAAAAAGACGGGTCACCAAAGGCAAGACAGACACTGGTGTAAAAACCACAGGCCACCAAACAAAACGCAGATGGCACTGCCAAAAGCTCTGAGCACCGAAGGCAACGCAGACGGTGTTTTAGAATGCCCGGTCCGGTCCTCAAGGAAAATACTGACCTCACTGTAAAAATAAATCCCTGGTCACCAGAGGACATAGGGACAGCGCAGTTAAAAGCAGCAGTTCACCAAATGCTATACCGACGGCGCTGTAAAGAGCACCGTTCCCCAAGTGCAATGCGGACCGCGTTATAAAAAACACAGTTCACCAAAGGAAATACGAATGGCGCTGTAAAAATCCCCGGTCACCTAAGGACGTACGGACCGCGCTCTCACAAGCAGCCGTTACCACATGCAATACGGACCGCAGTATAAAAAAACGCGGGTCGCCAAAGACAATACCAATGGCGCTGTAAAAATCCCCGGTCAAAAAGGGAAAATCCGACGGCGCTGTAAAAAATCCCCGGTCACCAAAGGACATAGGGACAGCGCTGTGAAAAGCAGCGGTCCCCAAAGCCTATACCGACAATGCTGTAAAAAGTCGGGTCACTGAAGGCAAGACAGACAGTGATGTAAAAACCACAGATCAGCAAACGAAACGCAGATGGCACTTTCGAGAGCTCTGAGCACCGAAGGCAACACGGACGGTGTCTTAAAATCCCCGGTCCGGTCCTCAAAGAAAATACCGATGGCGCTGTAAAACTTCCCAGTCACCAAAGGACACAGGGACGGCGTTGTTAAAACCGGCGGTAATCAAATTCTACACCGAAGGCGCTGTTACAAGCAGCGGTCACCAAATGCAATACGAAACGCATTATGAAAAACAGCGGTCACGATAAAGGATACGATTGGCGCTGGAAAAATCCCCGGGGTAGGGACACGCTGTTACAAGCAGCGGTCACCAAATGCAATACGGACCACAGTATAAAAAAACGTGGGTCGCCAATGAAAATACCATCGGCGCTGTAAAAATTCCCGGTCACCTAAGGACATACGGACGGCGACGTTACAAGCAGCGGTCACCAAATGCAAAACGGACGGCACTGTACAAAGCACAGTTCACGAAATGCTATGGGGACCGCACTATATAAAAAACGCCGGTCGCTCACCAAAGGAAATTCGAAGGGCGCTGTAAAAATTCCAGGTCCCAAGGGACCTACGGACGACGCTGTTAAAAGCAGCGCTCGCCAAATGCTATACCATCCGCGCTGTACAAGGTACCTGTCAGTCAAAGACGTAAGGAAGGCGCTATCAAAGGTACTGGGAACCTGAGGCAATAGGAACGGCCCTGTCAAAAGCTCTGCTCCCCCAAGGAAATAAGGAAAAGGGAGTGTAGTTGAAAACGGAGTGAACCCGCTCTAAGGTCGTTTCTGTGACGAATCACGTCCAGGATTAAAAATTTGTGCACAGCACTGTGATTTAGCGCAAGGAACTGCCGGCCACTGAAAGCCAGTAAGAAACGGTGGAAGTGAAAAATGACAAGTAAAAGCAAGAAGTGCAGAGGCAGGAGGGAAGGAGGAAAGGGCAGCGACCAGGGCTGCAGAGGGAAAGGGGCGCTAACTGACACGGGACACCGAAGGAAGGTCATGCAGTTTTATTGGAAACCGAGATCTTTTCACCCCGGGCGCCCCCCAACCCAGGGCTCCCTCCCGCCGCAGTCTCGGGGCTCTTTAACGTCCACGAAGATCCCGCAGCAGCCCGCAGCCGCGCGGCTCAGGGAGCAGACGGCGCGACGGATCCACCGCAGGCAGCCCGACAAGTCCGCGCGACCACACCGTCCAACCCGAGCCCGCGGTGGGCGGCGCTCTGCGGGGCGCGCGCCTTCGCAGCTCTGGGCGCCTTGCACTTGGTCTCTGGCGCTGGGACACAGGGTCTCGGAAAGCAGCTCCAAGGCAGTTTCCTTCGCGGGCACAGGCTCTCGGGAGGGTTCCGCTGGGCTCTCTGGCG